AAAAGGTCCCTTAAGTCCCCAGATTAGGTACTAGATTGGTTTAAATGCACAAAGTCTCTATGGAAATGAAATCTCAGCTGGGTTCACACATTACAATGGTGCTGCAGCATGTTGTCAAAAATATTGATTCCATTTCTTTTTAAAACAGTTGAACACAAGATCATGCTTTTATTGCTGGTTCTGTGGTTTTAGTTTTTATAGTTTTTAAAATTTCAAAAAAAAACAAAAACAAAACCAACCTAAAAGCTTGTGGTAGCATATGTTCTCCCCCCTCCCTTGTTAGCTATTTCTGACCATTTAAAATATATGAATTTTTGACCAACAGCAATAGTGTGATCTCATCCTGTCCTTCTTTCACAGGGTCTGGGTCCCCCTTTGGGGAAGCAATCTAGTTGTTAAGAACTCCTTTCTCAAATGTGTTGCTGTCATAACCATCTTGGCAGAACAGAAGAGGAATGTATTCCCAAAACATATGATGTTTTTAGTTCACAGTCTGTCACTAATTCATGGTGTTGTTAGAACAACAGTGAAATAAATAGAAATCATAAAATGTAAGCCTGACCATGTTTGTTTCTAAGAAAACAAAATCTGGATTGGCTTGGAGGCTGGATGTTGGCCCTGAAGCTGCTAAATTGAGACAATTGTGCAATCAGTTGCTGGAAGCTTCCAATCTGCATAATCGGAATAAATCTACTCAAAGTTTAAACAAATTGAAACCTTACAATAAAGTCAGAAAAGTATCAGCATTGTTGAAACAAGAAGTACATTTTTAGTCTGAAATATGCTATGGGAGTCATAAATGAACAACAGTGCTAAAAGTGAAACATTATCAACTGAACGGAAGATTCTGGACGTTTATGGCATTTTAAAAAAGATAAACATTGGAAAGAAGCCATATTAATGTTTGCTTATGCCGGTAGCTGAAAGTTCTGGGACAGTTGTGCACTATCTATGGGGAGGAAAGACACCTGTGGAGAATGACAAGAGAAAGCTGAGAATGTTCTGGAATATTCTGGAAAAGTGTAGTAAGTTGTTTGAAGGGAATCCAAAGCCGTTAATAAGCATTTTAAGTGATTTAAAAATATATAAATTTTAAAAGTGGTACCAGAACAGAAAGAGAAATGTGACTATATGAGAATGTAAAAATGTGTGAAATTTAAAAAAAATGTAGAAAATGGGGAAAAAAAAGACAAAAAAAACACGGCAAAAGGATATAAGCAAATGCAAGAAACACAGAGAAAATAAGCACGAAGAATTAGAAAACTGGCTGAGGATGAGTGGGTTGAAATTTGCTGCTGATATAAGAAGAGTAATAGCAGCCGCCATCTTCAGAAACTCTTCAGAGAAGACATACAGTACTTCATTTGGCTAAGATAAGCTGCTCTGTCAGGAAGACACAAAGGGAGATTTGAATGGCTGCACAGCTAGTCACTCATTCGCTGCAGCTTGCAAGTTTCTAGAAAAACAGGGCTATTGTTACTTCTTCTTAAAGGCTGGGAAAAAATTAATTAACGTGAACAGGAATTCCACTATAAATTCTTCCAGTGAAGAATTTCCTGATAAGAGATGGTTCCTCATTTCAAAGCCCTGAACTGCATCTAAACTGAATAAATAGTCCACATACTGTATAAAGTGGAATTGTAAGTCATGAATATCTGGCACAAAATGACTCTAAATTACACTTTTTCTTTTTTTCAAGGATCATCCTTCTCCCTAACCTATAAAAATCTTAGAAGCTCCCCCTCCAATTTATTTTATGTTATACTTGTTTTCTCAATTACTTTATTGTAATAAGTTTTAAGTGAATGGTGCATCTCCTTAAAGAGCATTAAATTTGAGCGCATTCAGACCTATGTAGAGGGAGCAGTAAGAAAGTCTACATGCAACACAGATAATATGTTGTTACTGTAGGTGTGCATGAAAGGGCTGCTGATTTCCTAAATCCACCTCTGAGGAAGCAAGCAAGGAGTTCTTTAATGAAAGGCCCTTTTCTGCTGTAGGTCCACCATCCATTAAGTCTAATCTTGGCCCTTTATTGGCTTTGTATTTGTTGTTGTTGGAGGGCCTTAAGAGTCAAATAAAAAATCCCAAACCAAAACTGAATATGAATTTTAAAATCTTTGGTAAAACAGTGCATGAATTTCTACTTCCCATTTTCCATTATGAGAATGTATACATCACTGAAGCCCAGAAGATGGCCGCTAGAGGTTTCTGCACTCCTAAGAGTTGTATTGGATGATCTTTCAACTGGGGATGTCTCTTCCCTCTCATGTTGTTAGTAGGGAGAGAATTTACAGAAAGACATGATCTGGTGGTGATTCTTGTATGGGTAGTGATGGCAGCTATATTATAGCTTTCAGAAATGATTTCATTCAGATGGCAACTGTCTGATATAAGCAAGAGCTCTTTTTAGAAGAAGTCGATGCTCAGGATTCAGTTTTCCCCAAGAAGAATCCAAAAAAAGCCATACTTCAATTCCAAATAAAGTTAGTTGCACTTTAGTCCTGATTAAATGAATGTTACAACTAATTAGACCCACTTATTTCAGTGGAATAAAAGCACCACCATCTCAGGTTAAGGTCTCTTGAGAACACCCTGAAAGTCAGATAACAACTTTGAGAATAATTACTTTGGCTCCACAAAATAGTGTGTGAGTGCATTTTTGTGAGAAATAAGTGATGAAAGCTGTAATGTTTCATTTAACCTCTCAGACATGTTGATTGAGATGCCAGGAGTATTTCCTCTTTTCCCAAATTGTTTGTGCCCTTAGGTACTTTTCAAGAGCACTAAATGAATGTTTTACATACAAACATTATGTAATACATACGTTTATGTGTGCCTAAAGATGGCCCAGCCCTGTTAAAATAGAAAATGATGCTCTAATTTGTTCACATAGCTCATTTATGTTGTCTTGAAAACACAAGCCTCCCCTATGCAGCTGTTGAGACATTTGTGGAAATTTGCTACACACACACGCAAACAATCCCAACCAAGCTCTATTGAGTTGGACATCTTTTTAAATATATATAAATGTCTTAAAAGAAAAAAAAACTTGCAATATCTAGTTCAACTGCTTGATTATATAGGTGCAAGTAACCATGTGCTCTGGTGGACTGCCAGAATATGTACTATTTTAAATGTGAGGTTGATTTGAAGTACTGTACACGTGTCTACTACAGATCTTCCAGCAATCATGGAAAACTATGTGGGATTTTTAAGTAAAAGAACTTTATGTGTGCATATTGCAAGAGTTGACATGACTGGCATTTAGATTGCATGATTATATAACATACCAACCAAAGAAAGAAACAAGAGAGGCAACCTCTATTTAGTTATGTATTTAGTCCAATTACTAACCATCACATAAACGCACCTGGCGACACAGGCAGGCATGAACAATTTAAAAAATAAAGGGGTAGCCATAGCAGTTGTGTTTAGCAAAAGCAAAAGAGAGACTGGTGGCACCTTAAAAGCTAACAAATATATTCTGGCACCAGTCCTCAGGTTCTACAGCCCACTTCATCTGATTCATGAAGCATTATTTTGAATATTATATGTATGGTATACATATAACATTCAAAATGATGACTGAGGGGGTGAGTATATAGACACTGAGATCAGAGTGAAATCAAATGCAAAAAAGGGGGGATAGTGGGGTGTATTGTCCATTAAATTACCAATAGCCCTGGCTTATCACCACCATTGTTTCTTATCAGACAGACATCCTGGCACTACATAAGTCCATTAACAACACATATAATAAGATAAGAAATCATCATCCTGATTTAAGCTTCTGATGACAGAATGGAACCTTTTACAGGCTGATGAAATCCCTTACAATTTTATGTTAGGGTTTTTTTTTTTAAGTAAATCAGCTATTAAAATATTACTTTAGTTACTACACTCCTTAACTAAAGTTAGGAGATTGTGCTTGGAGGGTTTCACCGGGTTGGATCCGTTGCTTCTCAGTTGATTTGAAAGATCATGATAGAAATGAATGGTTGCTTAACACAACTATCGCGTATCAGGCAAAAAGAATTTTTTTTAAAAAAAGACAAGAACATGTTTTGCCTGAGATGCTTGCACAGACTAACACGGCTGCCTCTCCCACCCCTATCTATCGCAGAAGGCATACGGTTTCCACTTGAAATTTGTATATAACTTCGAAAGGGGGGGGGCTCCATCATTACTGGAGTTTGGTGGAGAATTCGCAGGCTGTATCCATTTAGTGCGGGATCCGAAATTAGGGAACGCCACTGACTGGAAACGTACAGTAGTAGTAGTAGTAGCAGCAATTCCCCCCCCCTACATACACTAAGCTTTCAGCTTACCGAGAAGTTCTATTTTATCTATGTAAGCCGCCCCGAGAGGGCCGGGGTAAAAAATCAAATAAATA